GCCAACCACTCCTCAGCTGGGGCAGGAGACACTTGCTCGCAAGGACTTACAGGCTTCATTCGCAGTGTGGTGACACGACATTGAATCATAGAATCGTTTAGGTTGGAAAAGACGCACTTAGACGACACAGAGCCTTGTGATGAAACAAGCAGAACGCATAGCACCTAGGGCCTGAGAGTACAAAACAGTTTGGTTCTTTTGATCCCATAAAGCTTTCTGCAGGCAGCGCGTGCCATTTTACGCATTGCACACGCCTGGAAACCACCTGCCCACCTCCCCAGTATTTTACACTATGCAGAGTAGAAGAAAAATGGTTTCTAACACAAAATCACCGGTGGAACGAAAGCCACAAAACCAGCTTCAGATTCGAAGCCCCACCTTTGGCCAGCAGGACACCCAAAGCAATGACACTGCAGTACAAGGAGCCATCATTTCATCTTGAAATGAAGTGCAAATTAAGCTATGAGGGTTTTTTTCCCCAACTTATGAGCAGGTGTGGGTTTGTTTTGCTGGTACCGTCCAGATTTCAAACTTCAATGTACATATTTCATGTGTTGGTGTGTAGATCCTATACTCCCAGGCACACCAGTTCATTTCAAGATGCTCTGTGCCTTTCCTGGGCTTAGATTTCAAGTTGTAGAAGATGGGAGACACAGGCTCATCCCCCCCCCCTCCCCCCAGCTCCTCGCATACAGAACACTGTTTCATCTCCTCGATTCCTTTCTCCATTAAAACACATTCAAACATAATTAGTGTAACATTAAAAATGGAGGAAATTTTGTAATTGCCAGTTGTTCTGTAGCCATGGTTACATCAGAGATTTATACTGAGCGACTCCGGCCTGAGCACGCACAAGCAGTTAGCAGGAACAGCAGTAGGATAATGTTTGTGTGCATGTGCAGGTGCGCTGACGTGCGCGTTTGCCAAAAAAAAAAAGAGGGGGGGAGGATGGGAGGGTTGGGAGTGGGGGGGAGAGGGGAGAGAGGCCGGGGGAGAGAAAGGAGGGAGGACGGGGAGGGGGAGAGACAGAGAATATTCGGTGACATTTAAGGTGCTAATATCTGGAAGTCAACCTTTAATTTGACAGCTTTTAGTGCTAGTTAATTTCACTCATCCAGACGAGGTGTAGGAAATTTGCAGCACCTTTAAATTATCACGTTTTTCCACACTGCCTGAGGCCTATGTGGAATACCTGAGCCATACTTTCGGCCCCCCTCCCTGGCTCCCCCTCCCTCCCT